GAACAGCTATTTCTAGGACAGCCTCCAAAGCCACAGAGAAACCCTGCCTCGAAAAACAAAACAAAAAACAAAACAAAAAAAAAGAAATTCTAAAACTAGCTGGGCGGTGGTTGCCCACTCAGGAGGGAGAGGCAAGCGGATCTCTGTGAGTTCGAGGCCAACCTGGCCTGGTTTTCAAACAGTTCCAGTACAGTCTCCAAACCTACAGAGAAACCCTGTCTCGAAAAATAAAAACAGTCTACAGCCATACGGAAAAACAAAAACAAAATAATAACAAAAAAGTTTTAGAGACAGGGTTTCTCTATGGCTTTGGAGGCTGTCCTGGAACTCACTCTGTAGACCAGGCTGGCCTCGAACTCAGAGATCCACCTGCCTCTGCCTACCAAGTGTGAGTGTTGGGATTAAAGGCATGTGCCAACACCGCCCATCGAAATTCTAAAACTTTAAAAATTTTTATTTTATGTGCATTGGTGCTTTGCCTGCATTTATGTCTGTATGAGGGTGTCAGATCACTCTGACCTAGATTATAGACAGTTGTGAGCTGCCATGTGGGTTCTGGGAATGGAACCCGGGTCCTCTGGAAGAGCTGCCAGTGCTCTTAACTGGTGAGCCATCTCTCTAGCCCCAAACTTGGGAGATTTTAAAGAAAAACTTGGTATACTTACAGCTTGTTGGCCTTGTTCCATATCGCCGCATAATTTGATCATGTGTGAATTTCACAAAAGATTCATACTGTTCTGTGAAGACATAATAAATAGTATATAGTTATCCCAGAAACCCATCCTTAACCCTTCAGGCAATTTAGGAAGCAGGATGACATATGTCTTCCCTATTTGCATTCTCTACTCAAACAAAATTACTCTCCTGTAATTCTATCCATTGCCCATGGCTTCCCAGAAAAATATGTGTACACTTGAAGTCCTTTCTTTATCACAAAACAAAAACATGAATGAGTGGGATTAGTAACAGGGGGCTTGCCTAAGCAAATGGGTGAGGTAGATCCCCAACTAAGGGGAAAACAAATAAACAAAAACTGAGAATGGTGGCTCATGCTTGGAATCCCAATCCTTCTGGGAACTCAAGAGTTCAAGACTAGCCAGGTCCACACAGTAAGCTCCAGATTTATTTTTATTATCTTTTAAAATTATGTGTGTGCATGTATTGGTATGTGCATTTGAATGCAGACACCCTTGGAGTCTAGAAGGGTTGGATCAGCCAGAGCTGGAGTTGTAAGTAGTCTTGAGCCTCTCTGGATGGGTACTGGGAATTGAACTCAGGTCTTCTGGGAGAGCAGGAAGCATTCTTTGACTTCTGAGTCATCTCTAGCCCTATTACTATTCTTAATCATACAAGGCTTTACTTGTCATTACTAATAACTACCTTTTTTTCCTGCCTCAGCTGACCTATACTTGGTTTTTTCTATCATACCTTCCAAACCAAAGAGTGCTCAATTTCTATGTCACAAAGAGACTCCAATACAGAAGTTTCAACACGTTGGTGACACTGCACTGCACCAATCCTGACAACTGTTAGGAAGTCAATAACATAAGCCAACCACCTGTTCACCAGCTGGTGTGGCCTGCTCAATGCCGGTACTTCTGGAAAAAAAAAAATCCTTACGTGTAGAGCTTGGCTTATCTGCTTTTAGAAATGTAAATGAGTTTTATATGTGTGTAAGTAACACCCGTGACACCACCAAAGCGTAGCTGCAGTGCTCACAACAGTGCCCTCTTGCATGAAGCCCTCTTTTTGGAGTCACACCAGCAGCAGCAGCAGCACCCCACACCTCAGCTTACCTGCGAGCTTGGTACTGAGGATCTGCTCGTACTCCTCCCGGACTTTATCTTCATAGTCTTTTAACAGACGCTCGCATATTATCCCCACTTGTCGGAGGGTAAAGGTGGGCTGGTCCTTCTTCATCCAGGAAGCACCTGGCAAGAACAAGAACATAAGTCAGATGCAGTGGCACATGCCTACAACCCCTACTCGAGAGGCAAAAAGAATGGAGTTTGAAAGCCGGGCGCACACCTTTAAACCAAGAGCTTGGGAGGCAGAGGCAGGTAGATCTCAGTGAGTTTTGAGACCAGCCTGGTCTACAAGAGCTAGTTCTAGGACAGCCTCCAAAGCCACAGAGAAACCCTGTCTCGAAAAACCAAAAAAGAATGGAGTTTGAGGCACACACAGGGAAACTTAACAAGACCCTCAAATTCAAGGCTTGACCCAAGCCCCAGTATTCCCTATCCCCCTAAAAAGATAAATCTTTACAACACATTCCAGTTCCATGGTTCAGAACGAACAACTTTCCTAGTTCTGACTCAAACTCAGGTCCTCCTACATGCCCTGTACAGCTGGAGCTATCTGCCTGGTCTGTGCTCTAGAAGCAGAGGAGCAGGGGAACAGATGTGTGCTGTGTGCTAGCTGAGCTGTGTACACAACAGTTCTGATGTCCCAACAATATGGGCTCACACTCACCCACCCCATAAGGGACCAAAACCAAAGCTTGAAGCTGAAGCTCCCAGCCCAGATTAGCTAAAGTACATTTAGAACATAAGGTCTTTGGAAATCACTCAGATGTGCCCAACCTGCTCACACTGGGACACACAACATTGTCACCTAAAAAGGTAAAAAAAAATTTTCAAGATGGATCTATCAGGGCTGGAGAGATGGCTCAGGGGTTAAGACCACCAGCTGCTCTTCCAGAGGTCCTGAATTCAATTCCCAGCAACCACACTGTGGCTTACAACCATCCGTTATGAGATCTGGTGCCCTCTTCTGGTGTGCAGATATACATGGCAGCAGAATGTTGTATACATAATAAATAAAATCTTTACAAAATATTTGATTCTGATTTCTAAAAAAAAAAAAATCTATCGATCGATCAATCGATCGATCGACCAACCGACCGACCTATCTATCTACCTACCATCCATCCATCCATCCATCCATCCATCCATCCATCCATCCATCCATCTCTGGCTGGCCTGCGATCCATCTGTCTCTGCCTCTGAGTGCTAGAATTAAAGGTGTTCAATACCGCAACCTGCCACTCATAATGTTTAAAGTTCATGATTTGGTATTGGACTTCATTCACAGATACCCTGGAGCACATGTGGCCCCCCATGAGCATCAGATTAGACACATTTGACTGGAAAACAAACACCAAAAATACACTATCTGATAATGATTCTGTAGCAGGGCAGGGCCAGGGCATCTTCTATTTTTAGGATCCACAAATGAGTTTGTAAGCTACAGGGAGTCTGAGATTCAGGACCAATATAAAACAAGTCACTGACATTAATCTCTTACCATTTGGAAATGGTCTCAAGAAGTCCAGGCTGGCCTTGAAATTGTTAGTACCCCCAAATAACCTTTAATTTCTGATCCTTCTGCTTCTACCTCCCCAAATACTGGGGCTACAGTGTTGGTTTTATTTGGTGCTGGGAATCCCACCCAAAGCTTTATGCATTTGAGGCCAGCACTCTACCAATGGAGGCAGTCATTACACCTTTACTAACTCCTGCTCCTTTTGTGACTAATCAGACTCCTATAAACCCAGCACTTCCAAGTGGAGGCAGAAGGATAAGGAATTGGGGTCAAGGTTATTCTCTGCTACTTAGTAATGAATCTCTTACTTATAGGCCTCTTTCTCATTTTCCTTGTCACGTTACCAGCAGAGGCCATGGAAATCAAAACTGCCATTTTCAGCTTCTTGAGAGCTAAGATTTCAGATGTGAACAGGTTTTATTAAACAAGCTCACTCAGAGCACTCAGCAGAAATGGGAGGGATACTGTTATAGCAAGCTTCTAGTTTGGTAGTGAGGCCAAAAGAAGTAAGCAACAGCCTGGTTCTGGAGCAACAGATTCCACAGGACTTCCTGCCTGCAGATGGTAAAATAGCAGCCTTGTAAATCAGCAAAAGATCAAGCTATAGCCCAGGCCCAAGAGCCTCAGAGGTCAGTATGGAATCCGTGTCTTCATTCCTGTCAGTGCTCAAGCTGCTTACCACCTTGAAACAAATCTTTGTGGCAAGCGTGTTGTTTTCGTAGTGTAGTGGTTATCACGTCTACCTCTCACGCAAAAGGTCCCCGGTTCGAAACCAGGCGGAAGCAATATGTGCTATCCTTTAGCGGGGCGTTGGTGGCGCATGCCTTTAATCCCAGCACCTGGGAGGCAGAGGCAGGCGGAGCTCTGTGAGTTCGAGGCCAGCCTGGTCTACAGAGTGAGTTCCAGGGCAGCCTCCAAAGCCACAGAGAAGCCCTGTCTCATAAAAAAATACAAAACAAAAAAACAACTTTGTGGCTTTTTCCTTCTAAACTATTTTTTCCAACTACAAACATGACCAAAATGTCTATTCACTCATCATCTGTAATCATTTCTCTACTCACAACATTTTCTACCTCTTTAACATTATATTGCTGTCTGGGTGGTCGAGACACACACCTTTACTCCCCGAACTCAGGAGGCAAAGGCAGGTGGATCTCTATGAGTTCTAGGACAGGCTGATCTACAGAGTGAGTTCCAGGGTAGTCTTGAAATCCCACTCCCCCCACCCCCAGAAAGAAAAGAAACCGAGTACTTTGAGGAAACAAAATTTTCAACTGTTTTAGGTCACAGAGGTTTGCAACACTGGTCTGTTGCCCATTTATAGGAATATAGCAGGCAAGTCTAGTTCACTGAGTGACAGAGACAACCTCAAATCCTGAGACTTTTAGAGCACTGTCCCCACAAACCACGTGTCAAGGTTACAAAACAGGACTGTCCAACAGAACTTTCTAAAACAAATTCCCTACAGTTGCACAACCAATACAAGGCCACATATGACTGCTATTTATGTACCTGACTGAAGTAAGATTACTGCATACAATCATCTGATTTTTAACCTTACTGAGTATGATGGCTCAAAGGTGTAGTCAGCAAGCAAGACTCCCACAAGTTGGAGGACAGCTTGGTCTGTATATTGAGTTCCAGACTAGCAAGGGCTACATATTAAGATCTTGTTTCAACAGAAAACTAGGGACCAGGTATGGTGGCACACAACTTTTAATTCTAACACTCAGGAGACAAAGGTAAGAAGATCTCTGGGAGTTTCAGGCCAGCCAGGTCTACATGGTGAGGCCCTATCTTAAAAACAACTTGCCCAGGGGCTGGAAAGATGGCTCAGTAGTTAAGCACTGGCTGTTCTCCCAGAGGACCCAGGTTCATTCCACAGCAACCATATTGTAGCTCACAGCTGTCTGTAACAACAGTTCCAGGGGATCTGGAATCTCCATATGAACACATATGCAGGTAAAATACCAGTGCACATAAGTAAATCATTAAAATAATAAAACTTGCCCAAGTAAAAAACAGAACCTCAAAGCAAATGTAAAAAAAAACAAAAAAACAAAAAAAACCCCAAAACCTTTAAATATTAAGTTTAGATAAGAAAGACCTTAGTTCCACGTCATGGTTTGAATCTAGAACATCCCCTTCAGCCCCATGTATTATTTAAGTGCTTGTTCCCTAACTTGCGGCATTATTTTGAAGGCTGTGGTGTCTTTAGAAGATGAGGCCCAGCAGGTGCAAATAGGTCACTGAGACAGGCCTTTGAAGTTTATATCTGGTTCCATGCCACCCCCATTTCCTGGTCTGCACCATATGAAGAGGAAGCCAAAAGCTTACTACATGAATAGAGCCACTTCCCTATATCTCTGCTGCCACGAAGGACAATACCAACTGAAACCATAACCTTCCTGCCTAAGTTGTCAGGTTGTCACAGTACTGAGAAAGTTAACACAGCACACACAGGTGGCCAGAGGACACCTGCAGCTAAAGAGAGGCAAACTGTTTTGAGCCAGGGTCTTGCTATATATCACAAGCTGGTTTCAAACGCACAATCCTTGCCTTAGTCTCTTAAATATGCCAAGATTACAGGTGTGCACCACCACACCCAGCTCACAAATTCTGAAAATAGATTTTCAACACCAAAGTTTGCTTACCTGGAGAACTTGGTGCCGTGAGTGCCGAGGAGGGAGGCTGGCTTTCTGAAGTACAGGCTTCACTCTGACTAAGAACAACCTCTAAATGTCTCCACCTCTGATAACGGCTATATTCTTGCTTTATGTTCTGAAAAATTTGCTCTAGTAAAAAGAAAAAAACAAAACAAAACAAAAAGAAAGAAAGAAAATGAACTTGAGCATTCATTTTGTGGTCATTTCTTCCAACTTCCCACCCATAAAAACTTTGTTGAGAAGATAGGCAAGAAAGGTCTTATTCTTTTATTCTATGAGATGCTGGGGTTCAAACCCCAAGTCTTTTCAACACCAGACAAGCACTCTACCAATGAGATACATTCCCCAGCCTAAATAAGATATTCAGACTGAACATTCCCTGTATCACACAGGTAGTAATCTCTTCTTCATCCTATGTTATTAACAGGCAATGTTTACAGTGTACAAACCAGTCCTATAGCTCAAGATACAGGGTTCTTATTCTGACTATTTATGGAGCTGGTGAGATGGCTGGTGAGCTGGTGTATAAAGGTTTTTGCTGTGCAAACCTAGTGCCCCGAGTTCAGTTCCCTGACATAAAACACATGTATCATGAACACAACATAATAAATTTTAAAACATTTTATACCCCTAGAATAGGGACTGAAAAAATGGCTCAGTAGTTAAGAGCACTGACTGTCCTTCCAGAGAATCTGGATTTGATTTCCAGCACTCATATGGGAACTCACAGTGGTCTTTAACTCCAGTTCCAGGGAATCTGAGTCTTCTTCTGGCCTCTACAGCACCAGGCACACAAGTGGTACACAGTCAAAGATGCAGGAAAACACTCTTACACATAAAGAAGTTTAATCCCTAAAATAATAGCTATTTTGGTGAAGCATCTCATGCAGTTTCCTTTACTTTTTTTCTTGTGGCAAACAAGCAAGTCAGACCTGCATTTTGCTGGATTCACTGCTACAATTTAAAGTAAAATAAGCATGCTGTTATTTCTAATTTATTTGTTTTTGGAGACAGTCTCGTAGCTCAGGCTGGTCTTGACCCTGCTGTATGCAGAGACGACCATTGACTGTCCCTGATGATCCCCATTTTCTTTCTGTTTTTTTTTTTTTTGGTTTTTTAGACAGGGTTTCCCTGTGTAACAGTCCTGGCTGGTCTCAAACTCACAGAGGTCTGCCTGCCTCTGCCTCTCAAGTGCTGAGATTAAAGGCGTTCAATGCCCCAGCTCCTTCTCCATTGTCTAAGCACTGGGATTAAAGGTGTGTGTCATCATTGTCTGGCTCTTTGAGAAATGGTTTCAAATGGCTTAAATTCACAGCAATCTCCCTGTCTTAGTTCAGTTACGTTTTACATTTTCACAAAACACAGTATTATGGGCGAGTCTCTTATCACTAAAGATCTTTTAACAATTAAGTTTTTGTTCCATGAGAAGATGGTACATAGCAAAAATCATTATGTATAACAGTCTGGACACACAACAGGGAAGGAACTGAGGGCTACAGTTTGGATTATCAAAGCTCATTTAAAGTGTTTCTAAAAGCTAGGCGGTGGTGGCACACACCTTTAATTCCGGCACTAGGGAGGATCTCTGTAAATTCCAGGGCAATCTGGTCTACAAGAGTGAACTCCAGAACACTCAAAGCTACAAAGAGAAACCCCGTCTTGAAAACAAACCCAACCAAACAACAAAACTCCCCACATAATTAAAAATAAAAATAAATTCTTTAAAAAAAAAAGTTTCCGAGCTGAGTGTGGTAGCAAGCCAATCCCTGTAATCCCCGAACTTGGAAGGATGGAGGCAGGAGAATCAGGGATCCAAAGTCATCCTCAATAACATAGAGTTTGGGAAAATTTTGGGCTACCTGATACAGTGTCTCAAAAAACAAGTTGGGTTGCTAGCCCACGACTGTGATCTTTGATTGGGAAACAGAAACAGGAGGATCACAGCTAGGTCAAGGTCAGCCTGGGCTGAACCAGACCCTGACTCAAAACAAACAAATGTTCTCAAGCTTGTCATGATCCCAAACATTGCTGAGGTGGGCCCGGTGATACCCACGTGCAATCCCAGCTTCTCTGGAGGTACAGGCAAGAGAACTACAAGATCAAGGCTACACTGGAAAACACAGTAAGTTGAAGGCCAGCCCCCAGCACCTCAGCAAGACTCTATCTTGATGTAAAGTAAAATGAGAGCTGAGGATGCAGCTTTAGGTGGGGCACTAGCTTCACAAACAATCTATGTCCAATTTCCAGCACTAGAAAAACAAAGAAAGGTGATATAACTGTGTTTCCTAGGACTCAAATTATTATTCTGAGTTAGTCATCATAAACTGAATTTGCCAACATGCAGGAGATACCAATTAGCAACTATAAAACTATATTCCTGGAACAAGAGTCCAGAAGCATATGGGTTTCAAGTTTATATACACAGTGGCATAATACTGTATTCCTTCTCCAGATAATATAAAGACCCTCCATAACAAAGGCAGAGACTGCATCTATGGTGATGAATACCTGTGATTCCAGTACAGGGAGGTGGGGATGGGGGCAGGAGAATCACTTCAAAAGTTTGAGACCAGCTTGGCCTATTTAACAAGTTCCAGACCAGCCAGTGCTACACAGACCTATCTAAAAATCAGAAAATTATATTCCTCAACTCAAATTGTTCAGTGCATAGTCTGTTTTAACCACATTTGTCAAGGGTGGGAGGTGTTGATACTGCCACTGTGTTTGCTATGAGCAATTTCAGAAAGCCATTCCAAATCTTTAGCTATTCAACGTAAATGGAAAATGCCTATCTGAACAGGTAATGAGAATCAAAATCACAGAGTGAATAATGGTGCTGGTGATGGTATGGTCCAGTAGTTGCCCATCTAGGTAAACTAACTCTAGGACAAACACAATAATGTTTTCCTTTAACAAAACCCTGAATCCAGCCTCTAGATCCTTGAATACAGGGAGGCCTCTTTTGTATTTTTTCGAGTCCTTACTCATCAAGTGCACACCTGCCAGATTCATTCACTACAAGGATGGAAGCAACTGCTATGAGACAAGAAAGGACAAGTATGAGAGCAGAAGGGCTCTGATGAACTCCACCTGCCTCCTGCACAGCAAAGTGAACAATG